CTTCACCCATCGGCCGAGAAATCATCGTCCAACCTGGGAAAAATAATGGTTCGTATGAAAACTTTGGGGGGAAGAGAGTAAACTCCGTCTATGAAGAGATCTGGGGCACCTGCATGAAAGAGACAAAACATGCATTTTAGTAGGGCTGTGATGGCAAACCTATGGCATGCATGCCCAAAGTGGCACGTGCGGCATCGCCCTTTCCTCTTCCTTGTTTCTGGCGCGCATGTGTGCTCAACAATCAGCCGACCTTCGTGCGTGTGGCAATGCCATAAACCAGAACAGCTGATCTTCCAGTTTCCGGTGTGCGCATATGTGCAGGCCAGCTGATTATCGTGCACAGGCGTGCCAGAAACCAGAAGACCAGATGCCTGGTGCACATGCGCACATTGGAAACCGGAAGTTCATTTCTTGGTGCGCGCATGCCCCCTGGGCTGCTCCTCTTCCGGGTTGCGGCCCCGGTGCGCACTTCCTTTTTGACACGGTGCTGAAAAAGTTCGCCACCACTACAATAGAGTGATGCATGTACAGATGGTCCTTGACTTATGACTGATCACTTAGCGGTTGTTCGAAATTCCCAATGGACCTCTCTGGGTTACCTGCTTGCAAGTCCTGACAGTTGCCCCCCCTCCCTGCAGGCAACGTGTTCCTCCCACCCCTTTTCTGGCACTGGGCAACTAGGAGACATGGCAACTTGCAGTGTCCCATCGTCACCTCACCACGGTTTACAATAATCTTGCTTAGTTACTTTCAGCAGAACAAAATGATGGTTTTGCAACCGTCATGATTTAGGATCGCAATGGGCAGGCTCCATTACGGCTGTAACTCGAGGACACACCTGTCGAGAAGAGGGAAGCTTGCAATTGTTTCATCCTTCTGGCATTGTGGCTGGGAGCAGAAATCTTTGTGGGTTTTGTGGGAGGACCGTTTTCTGTCTAGTGTTATAGCCTTGGGAGTTTTTATTTCAGAATTCCCATTCAGGTCCTTATCAGGCTGTCCCTTGCTTAGCGTCCGACAAGCTGAGTTCATCCCAGTTTGTTCCAAACGCAGCTTTGGAACGATGGCGGTTTTATTGGTGAAAGCACTGCAGCTGGCCCTTGCCTTCCAACAACTGAGCCCAAAATTTCTCTTGGCAAAGCCAGACAGTTGTTGAGTTTTGCCCCATTTTTTAACCTTCCTTGCCACGGTTGTTAGGTGAATCACTAGGGTTGTTAAGTTAGTGACATGGTTGTAAAGGGGATCAGGTTTCCCCCACCGACTTTGCTTATCACAAAAGGTGATTACGTAACCCTAAATATCTACAACTGTCATAAAGGAGCCAGTTGCCAAGCATCTGAATTTTGGTCACCTGATGATAGGGATGGCTGCAATGGTTTTAATACAATACAGTAGCAGAGTTGGAAGGGACCTTGGAGGTCTTCTAGTCCAACCCCCTGCTTAGGCAGGAAACCTTATACCATTTCAGACAAATGGCTATCCAACATCTTCTTGAAGACTTCCAGTGTTGGGGCATTCACAACTTCTAGAGACAAGCTGATTAACAATTAATCCACTGATTAATTGTTCTAAACTGTCAGGAAATTTCTTCTGAGTTCTAAATTGCTTCCTTGATTCATTTCCACCCATTGCTTCTTGTCCTGCCTTCAGGAGCTTTGGAGAATAGTTTGACTCCCTCTTCTTTGTGGCAACCCCTGAGATATTGGAGCACTGCTATCATGTCTCCCCTGGTCCTTCTTTTCATTAAACTAGACATACCCAGTTCCACCACCGTTCTTCATCTGTTTTAGCCTCCAGTCCCCTAATCGTCTTTGTTGCTCTTCTCTGCACTCTTTCTAGAGTCTCCACATCTTTTCTATATCGTGGTTTGCAGTCACTTTTTTTCAATACTGTTGTAACTGCAGTCACCAAACAAAAGGTTATAAATCAAGGATTACCTGTACTTAATCTCAAGAGATTTTAACCAGAAAGGTTTTTTTTTTAAATGCTTCAATCCTGATGATGCAGCCTTGCTGTGCTCTGTTTCTTTTTTCTCCAGCTGCTTGTCAGACAGTGTTATCCCTACCAGTGGATTTTGATTTGGAAAAGATACTGGGTAAGTAGCTTGTAAAATAAGTCTACTTGCTCTGTTAGGGTTTCTTATAACAGTCTAAACTGGACTGGGGGAAGTTGTAAGGATTATACCTCCAAAGAAGGGTGGCATGTGATAAAAGGAAAGGATCACAATTTAAGAAGTCTTGAGAGGTTGTGTAAAGGACACACAACAAGAAGTGAGGGTTTGGGCTTGTGGGTTGGTTTCCGAATGTTTCGTTACCAGGATAGTTAATGTCTTCAGTGGAGTTTAGGGGATGTCACTATCTCATGTTCTTCTGCTTATCCTCATCCTACACCTGAGCCACAGATATTCACCACTGTTGTAAAAAAACATAACTTTTGTGTGGTTTTGTGGCTGCTCTCGTTCCTCCTCTCTGCAGTTTTTCTGAGCGATGCAGGAGATGGAGAAACGTCTCCGTCCTGGCCCACAAATTTCAAAATCCCCCTTTAAAAAAAGAGTTGGAATCCAAACGGATTCCTGTGATTTGTGCTCTCTTCTCTTTTGACCTTGTGCAAGGCATAAATGGTCAGATTGGATTTACCGCAGGGTGGATTTGATTTAAATCGTGATTTAAATCACTAGGAAAAAGGCTTGGTTTAAAGCAACTCTATTTAAATCATAATTTTTAAAGAGCAGCTGTCACCTTTGTCCCGCAGCCGCTCCTCCTATGATGTACACTGTTGACTCATCCACTGTCCCATTCACTTTAATGGGACAGCTGGTGATGCGGCAGTGACACAACAATGTGAGGGGCCTGGCAGGCAGCAGGAGTGGTTGCCCGCTAACAGGCGCTGCCACAATGGGTCTGAAATGACAGGCATTTTTTTAAATATTATCTTTGTAAGCTGCTTAGAAGGTTTCACTTTCCTTTTTACCGCTTGCCCTTCCTCCTCAAACTTCGAGCCTGATGGTATAGAAGCATTTCTCTTCCAACAATCATACAGTGTGTAGTGTGCATAGATTTGCAAAACCATGAGATAAAGGGATATCCCTCATTGTTTTGTTTTATGATTTATCTCACGGTTACTGTGAAATTGTGGTGAATGCATGCATGCAGCGCATGTTACTTTAGCTTGCAGAGCTTGGATTCATTGAATGAGTTTTACCAAAAATGTAAATATTGCAGAATATACAGCCTCATGCTTCGTAACTCAGCTCCATTTCATGCTGAGTAAACTAAATTATTACCGTATTTTTCGGAGTATAAGACACACCTTTTTCCACAAAAAAAAAAAAAAAAGAGTGAAAATCTGGGTGCGTCTTCTACACTGAATACAGAAATTTTGGCCTCCCAAAACTCTGCCCTCTTTGCAAAAATAGACGCGCAGAGGGTTTGGGAAGCCTGTAAAGAGCTCATGGGGGCGGTATTGGACCTGGGTACTTGAGAGACCGCCTGCTGCCAATTACCTCCCAAAGACCCATTAGATCTCACAGGGTCGGCCTCCTCCGGGTTCCGTCCACCAGCCAATGCCATCTGGCTACTGCCCGGGGGAGGGCCTTCTCTGTGACAGCTCCAGCCCTTTGGAATGAACTCCCCGTGGAGATCCGGACCCTC